TTTGTTTTTGAGGGAACAGGCTAGTAGTAAAGAGTGTAATGTGTATAAGAGAGATTCAAATTTGGGTGTTGAAACACGAGATAGAAGGAAACAAGAAAGTTAACGAAAATGTCCAATCTTCAGACTGAAAAAATTGGTAACCAACAAATTGGTGAAAAAACTGTCCTTCACCTCAACTTTGACTTTGTTGAATTGGTAACCAACAAATTGGTGAAAAAACTGTCCTTCACCTCAACTTTGACTTTGTTGTATTTTGAGAAGTTAATAAAAAGCCGATTTTTTGGTTTTTTTGGCTTTTAGGTGACTTTTTTGTGTTAAAAAGTTAAAAAGTCAAAAAGTTTATTTTTAGCAAGTTCCCAAATTGCCCTTTTATGGTCTTAAAATGCCCCAAAGTTTTCCCAAATTTATTGTTGATATTCCCAATCATTAGTCATATTGATGAAAATCTCTTTCTTTTTTTTTTTCGGTACATTGTAGGTCGGATCAGGAAGGTCTTGTTTATGGTAAGACTTGAACTCTTGACCGTCTTGTAAAGTGTAAGGATTTTAATCAATTTGACTAGTTCCAATTGGTTGTCAAGCTAGCCCTATTTGGTAGAACTCGTTTGGCAAGTGGCTGTTTTAGCCTAAAAGTCAAAAAGTTACTAAAAAAAATCAAAAAGCCAACAACTTATACCAAAAAGTTAAAATTTCATTTTCTCTCTATTTTTTGCACATTTTTTGGTAAAAGCTAAAAAGTTATCCTAAACCTACTAATTTTTTTTACCTCATACTTTAACCAAAAAGCTAAAAAATTATTAAAATGGCATATTCTCAAACAAAGTAACCGACAAATTGGTGAAGAAAATTTTCTTCACCTTAAATCTGCCTTAAGGAGGACTTACAGTACCCGTAGCTTTTCAAAATTTATTGAGGAAATTCCCAATTATTGGTTATATATTGATGAAAGTTTTTTTGTTTTATTTTTTATGTTGTACATTGGAGGTCCAGGGAGGGGCAGTTTTGCATATGATAAGATTTGAACTCTTTATCTCAAAAGTTTAAGGATTTTGGCCAACTGAAATAGTCTCAATTAGTTGATGAAAACTTTCACTACAGTCCTATACTTTATTTTTAACTTTGTCCTTACTAGTTGTCAGATTTATAGTTTTCCTGCTCTATGTTGGCTCCATCCACTACCCACATGGTAAGGAGCCCACCATCCACATGGCGTGGGTGGCACCATGTGGTAAAAGAAGCTGGTGGAGGCCAACACCAACTCACTAAAGGAAGATAGTGAGGGTGGCACCACCTTGGCCAATTATGGCTATCTCTTCACCTACTCCTCCTCTCTTGGTTATAAATTGAGATGAGTGAGGAGGGGTTGTATATCATCAGAAATTGGAGAGTGAGAGCTGTGAGTTGAGTGAGTTTCATCTCCTCCTCTGTATTTGTATTTTGCTCCATTTTAGTGAAAATTCTCATTTCTGTCCGTGGGTGTAGGCATTGGGCCGAACCACGTAAATATTGTGTTCTCTGTGTGTGTGAGATATTTTTCTGGGTGTGTTTGATCCTAACACTCTATACATATCGAGAACAAGCCATTGCCTAAGAAGGACGAGTACTCCAAAAATGGTGCAATACGAGTACCGGATATTGGGTGCAGATATGTGTAATGGTATAGCGGTACACGTACCGGGTACGCCGAATACATGCTGAGTACGGCATTGGTACAACGAGGTGAACCTTTTTTTTTTTTTTTTTTTTTGCAGCTGCTGGAATTTATTGCAGCCTTTATTATTCTTCTTTCAATTTTGAAAATATCAAGTAATTTATTTCCAACCCCCTTTACCATGAGTCATGATTTTGCTCTTTTTTGCATCCTGTTTTAGACAATCAAAAAAAAGAAGAAAGAATTATATAACTTTTTAGACAAACTGTTCTCTTTTTAGTTTTGATATTAAAACTTTAATTTATATATTGGATGTTTAGCTATCAATTTAAATAAAAAAAAAAAAATTAAAATTGAAGTGTCCCAGCCAGCCGTACCCGTACCCGTACCCATACCTTACGTTTTTAAGAATTTGCTGTATCAGCGTATCCGTATCATACCCGTACTCATATCCGTATCCGCACCCATGCTACATAGGATGGTCCCAAAGGAAAGGAATCCAGCGCTTCATAACAATTGAACTCGCAATCTAATTTTTTGAAGCACTTATCACTGCTCAACTTGTCACTCAGCTAATCTATTAAGATTGAACTTCTGTAATGATTTTAGCAACTGAACTAACCCCACTTGATTAATGAAGATTCTCACTATGGCTGCATACCTTATTTTTGGGTAACGAAGGTATTCGAGACTTCACTCAACTAGTTCTAGGATACATGTTTTTCTGTTCCATACAAAAACTAACTCGGTACAAGCCTAGGAAGTGGGTGAAGGGGATCAAGATTCATGAGATTCAAACTCAATGCTTATCACGACTAAACTTGCCATTCAGCTAACCCTTATACTGTGTTTGGTTGGGGGATTTGGGAAGGGATTTGGAAAGGAAAAGGGAAAAAGTATGTGAAACTATGTGAAATGTAGGTATATTTTTTTCACATTTCACCTACCTTTCCATTTCCCTCTCCAAATCCCTCCTCAAATCCCTAAACCAAACACAGCATTACGGTTGACATACACCTGAACTTTATCCCAATTCATCTATGAGCAAATGAAAAACAACTTTAAAATGTAACTTCAAAAAAGAGGATTTAAAGAGAAAGATTACCAGAAGAACCAAACCCAATTATTAGAGCAGAAGTGCCTGAAAGTACAAGGTTTTTTTTTTTTCTTTCAGAATAAGCAATCAAAGATTTAGATAACAGAGATGAGTTACACTAGTTTAAACACATAATGGAGTTTGAGAGAGGCTTATCATTAGGACTTACCTGTGTTGGAGAAAGAAAATTCTACAAGTGAATGAAATTTGAGTTTTGGATATGATGGCCTCTGAGGATGACCACTCTTTCTATAGAATGTAGGAACAGCAAAAGAGATAATTATGCTTTTCACCCTATAATTTGATCTAAATTTTATTTTAGTCCTTACTGTTTCAATTTTAACAATATTAACTCCAAATTTTAGATCCAATTTTAGTTTAGTCATTTCTTCCAAAATAGATGTTACAATTCACGATTTTTTAACACGTATTGGTTATATGAGGAATACGTGTTGAAAATTAGACTCTTAAAGTTCAAGCCATTTGTTCAAATTAAAACAATAAGGAATATTAAAGTAAAATTGGAGTCAAATAATCGTTCTACAAAATATAATTTACACAAAAAAGAATGTTAAACATTTGTATCGATTAGGGCCGGCCCTGGGCTAAGACTGGTGAGGCTTGTGCCTAGGGCCCCAAAAATTAGGCCCAAAAAAAAGGCCCCAAATTTAATCTTACACTATATTAAAAACTTAAAATGGCCCAATTCTATTTAATTAATTTAGGCCATTTTAAAGGGGGCCTCAAAAAATCTATTTGGTTCAATTGATAAAAGGCCCAATTAAAAAATATTTATAAGTTTTAGTTGTTAGTCCAATTAAAAAAATAAAATATTAAATATATGTATATGTATATGTATTAGTCGTTAGCCTAATTTTGTGTGGCCTATTTTTTTTCCTCTCTTATGGCCCAATTATGTGTTTTTTAGTATTTTTTTTAAAAAAATATTTTACACAATTTTTATTTATTTATTTTGTAGATATATCTAATTTAGATACACTTATAAACTATAATATTTATATATATATTATATTTTTAAACGTTACCAAATACAAAAAATATAAAAAAAAATACGAATTGTAAACTCAGACAATTATTTTTGAAAACTTTAAACCAAACAGAGTGATTTTTATTTTATTTTTATTTTTTTAAATATCTAAAAAGGCTCCAAAAAATTATTTCGCCTTAGGCCTCCGAAAACTCAGGGCCGGCCCTGGTATCGATCGGTAGAGAGGTTTCACTACATTTTCTGATAATGAAATAAGGACACACATATAATAATAATATTAATAATAATAATAACTTTCTAGTACGTTATGGTGGTGTTGTTTTGAGGGATTGAGACATGGGATTTGACTAATAGTCTCTCTAGATTAATAGTCCATTGATTGGTTCAAAATTGTTGCTCCGGACTATTTGTTCCAAATATGTTGGACTATTGTGTCCCATGGGGGTGGGACACAAATGGAGTATAAGAGGGGATATGGGGATTAGGTGGTGAAATGACCATTTTGACCATCTACTTATTTATTATATTATATTTTTGTAAAATTTAAATGTCTCAATTTAAAAATAAAATAATTTTATTTAATTTTTATTGACATTTTATTTATTTAATTTTTTTTAAATAATTTTTTATAGATATTTTATTGATGTTTTATTTTAAAATTTTGTTTATATTTTATTTAATTTCATTATTTAAATTTTAATAGATGTTTTATTTAATTTCATTATTTAATTATTATTATTTTTTAAAATAAATTTATTTAAAATTTTAATTAAAAAATAACATATATTTTTATTGATATTTAATTTATTTAATTTTTTAAAAATAAATTTATTTAATTGTACAAAAAATAAAATAAAATAAATTTTTATTTAATCTAGCTAAAAATACTTAAAATATTAAAGATATGTTTAATATTGCTATTATATAGTAAATAATTGAAAATGATAAAATAGTCATTTGAACAGTTATCCTTCTCCATAATATCCCAAACAAACATAGAATTCAATAGAATAGTCAAATCCAAACATCTAATTCCATGATTAAACAAATATAGGATACAAATCCAGTCCAACTAAATAGTCTAGGGACAATATATATTAGGAGTAACAGTTCGATGAATTCCAATCCCTCATTATCCGGTCCGTCCAAATAAACACACCCCGTTATGATCATTGGACAATGTGAAATTTTATAGCGGTAGGTACCATATGTATCTTACACTTAAAATTGACAAAAGGTGGGGCCGCACTATAAATACCTTCCTTTTCCTAACCTTTATTACAAAATGTGTAGTATTAATCACTTATCCATTGGTTCTACCAGTTTTTCTTGCAACCACAATGACAAGGAAGAACAATATGACACAATAACAAGCATTGCAATTATTACATATATTGAAAAATCACAATATTGATGAGAATGATCTGCTAGTAAGAGATGTTTTTCAGGCAAGACAGAATGGTAAAAAGGGTCTGTAAAAAAGTAAAAACAAGCATTACAATAGCAGCAATAAAAGAAGCAATAGACCATGGATTGTTAAAGTAATCACGTTTGAGAATTGCTCTCCACCTAGGCCACTGAGACCTGTAATATTGATTCACCTCCATAGACACACCACCATAGTAAAAATCATAGACAAGAATGTCACTGTAGAGTCCATTGAAGAGAATGGACACATCTTCAGTGCTCAAAGCAAGCACTACAATTCTCTTGTCACAGAGCAAATCTGCATCTTGGCTTGTGTTGATTAGGCAGTCCAAGAACACTGCATAGGATGTGAATTTGTCGGTGCACTGGCGATCACACTGCTCGTACGCTATGAGGTTCCGAAAAAGGGATTCAGAGTTTCCCCGGATCTTTATTGGTGGGATTTCAAACATGCCATTGCGAAACTTGATGTTCAGTAGGTCGTCGGGAGGACCCTTCTTGAATTGGACTCCGGCCTGTAGGTCAGGGGTGTTAAAAAAACTGGTCAAACCATAATTTAACCAATCTGAACTAGTCCAAACCAGTTTTTTGAGGGGACAATTGGTTCTGGTATCAAAAAATTAAGAACCATCAATTGTAGTTCAGTTTCTAGATTAAGTTTCAAAAGAATCGAATAAAACTAAACTGAACCATTCGATGTTTTTATTATGTACAGAATGTTCTACAAGGCACTTATTTTTCTTCTCATTGACTTCTTCTAACCTCAATCTCATTCTAACCTCGATGATGCCTTCATTCATCCTATTAACAAAAGCACTTAGTTTTTTTTCGCCATTATTTATATGATATTCTTATATAATTGAAAATTGCATTTTTATAGTAATTATTGAAGAATCTGTTTTGTTTTAACAAATTTTAGGAGTTAGTTTGGAGAATATTTTAAAAAGTTGGAGTACGCTTATTAGGTAATTTTTGAAAAACTTGCATAGATAGAATCATTTTCTATTGATATATAGTTGTGAATTTTCTAGCTTAGAATCGTGAAACTGAACCAGAGCTGAACACCCTTACCCGTAGGAGTTCTGTTACCGGAGGGAAAAGTTCCCAGCTTGTATTTGTTGGTTCGGTATTTTCAGACGATGACAGCAAACTACCCCGGATTAAGTCCAAAATATGCTTGATTTCGTGGCCTCTGGATTTGAACTCTGCTGGAACTGTCATCAGCATCGTTGTTTCGAAGAATTTTAGGACAAGCTTGATTAGGAAACTTGTTTCTTGTTCATGAACTGACAAGGTTAGATGAAACAGACAGTGCAAAACAAACCAAGGAATCTGATTTTCGAGCAAAATCAAGTCATGGTAGAGATTTTCATGCATCCAGGATGTGTTGAATACAGGATCGTCATTGTCTCGAGGGACTAACCACACGTCTCTTCTAAAAAGCTCTAGTAAAAAGCATCCATCGACGATCATCATTTCCACGAGCTCATCTTCACTCATGTCAACCCTTTCTGCATAACAGTTGATTGTTCTTTTCGCTAGTTCGCGAATGCATTCTATTAATTGTTGCAAGGTTTCTTCTGGAGGAAGGGGTAACCGGGCTAGGAGGGTGTCCAAGTACCATAGTTTTATGTTCTCCATCGGTGCAAGTCTGTCTTTGCCGCGGTGATAAGGGCCAATGGAGACTATTTTGGGCTCATAAATGCTCTCATTGTGTTGTCTGAGTGTTCTAGGGACTCTAAAGATGCAATTCTCAGAGAGGGAAGGAGATTCGTGGCGCAGTTTGTTTTTGAGGGAACAGGCTAGTAGTTTGTTCAACTTGTTTAAGAGATTCAAATTTGGGTGATGAACACAAGTAAGAGATAGAAGGAAACAAGAAAGTTAACGAAACTTGCAAAATGTTCGGACTGAAAAAATTGGTAACCAACAAATTGGTGAAAAAGCTGTCCTTCACCTCAATTCTGACTTTATGGTCTTAAAATGCCCTAAAGTTTTCCCAATTTCATTGTTGATATTCCCAATCATTAGTCATACTGATCAAAATCTCGTCTTTGTTTTTTTTGTTGGTACATTGGTGGTCGGATCAAGAAGGTCTTGCTTATGGTAAGACTTGAACTCTTGACCGTCTTGTAACGTGTAAGGGTTTAGTCGATTTAACTAGTCCCAATTGGTTGTCGAGCTAGCCCTATTTGGTTGATGAAAACTCTCACTATGGTCATAAACTTTTTGTTTGGGTAAGAAGGGTATCCAGGACTTTGTTCAACTAGTTCTCGGGTACATGTAATTCTCCTGTTCCATACATACAGGCTCAAGCCTTGGGCATAGCCCCAAGAGGATCAAGATTCATGAGATTCTCAAACTCATTAATAGTTTCTAAGACACTTATCACGACTCAACTTACCATTCAACTAACCCTTGTGTTGTGTTTGATTTAATAAGATAAAATGGAATGAAAAAATCATTACATCCTCATGTTTGATTCACTAAAAATGATGAAAAATGTACTACAAATGAAATCACCATTTACTATTATAAGTGAATAGTCATTCCATAGGGAGGCAAAAAATAATCTTTTATTCTATTCTACTTTCATTCCAATGAACCAAAACACTACCTCACGTCCAAACATGTCTTTGAGAAGCTCAAAGACAAGTCCTCAAAACAGCAGCCAGTTTCCAAAAAGAAATGATATCTATGAGCATAAAACAACTTTACAATGGAATAGATTAACATAAATAAATAAATAAGAGTATATAAAGAAAGAGATTACCAGAACCAAATCAATTATGAGAGCAAAACTAGCCGAAAGTTCAAGCCTTTTTTTAGAATAAGCAATCAAGATTTAGATAACAGAGATGAGTTTCGGAAGTTTAACATAGAACTGAGTTTAAGGGAGGCTTTCCACTAAGACTTGCTCACCTTTCTTGTGGTTTGAGCAGCAGACAATATCTTTTCTTGGTAAAAGAGAATTTTCAGACAAGTGAATGAAGTAAAAGTTTTGGTTATGACAACTGAGGATGACCTCTCTTTTTTATTGACTCAATAAAAAAGAGCTCACTAAGCCTAACGAATCTTTAAAAGTGAACAGTTTGAATAACTGAAGTCTATCCCAAAACAAGCCTATGGAGAGAAAAAATATGAGCCTAGGCCCAAATCCAATCATGCTAGCCCAAGGTAAAAGTTGTAAGTCCAAACCCATCCCTTGGAGCCCACGAAGGACAGCTGGCAACAACTTGGCATCCAATCAAGGCGCGTGAAGAGACAAACAAATATAAAAGATAAACTTCTAGAAGGCAAATCTGTAAAATAAAAGAGAGGCGTCAATCCAACGGTGACGAATGTAGAACAGACAAGACTAGGGCATAAGTTGGACCTAGTAGGGGGTAGAGCCATCCAATCAATTTAATCCTACGGACGTAATGCTCGGCGAGTTGGCCACTAACATCAGACATCATCCAAGTCCTCCGTATGCCAAATATCCAACAATCAAGGAGAAGACACACTTGGCAAGTTGTCCAACCAAAGCCAAATGTGAGCAGAACCCTTCGATCAAAACAAGATCTGACGGATGAGTTTTGAGCCAAAATAGCTATAAATGGGTAAGCTAACAAAGCACAAGGAGACAAGTTGGTAAATCCAATTTAACCCACTTATACTCAATCTTAATCAATTTCTACTTCAGAAATATTTCCTCTTATATTTATTCACTATGGTCGATCAGTGTATTAACTTGATCATCGGAGGATCCTCCCGACCAACCCTAGTCGGGAGTGATCACTAATGTTTGGTTTCTCTTTACAGAATGTAAAGGATTGGATGCATCATCTCCTCGCTTTTCCTGTGAAAATAATTTCAGAGCCCATTAAACCCAATTACACCTCAAGTTAAATAGTCAATTTGTGAGAATCTAAACCTTTTAATAAAATGTACTCTTTATTTTACATATATGTCTTATCATGTAAAATTTCACTGTACATCGTAGACTTTCTCATCTTTCCATAAAATGTTGGAACATTGACGGACCAAAAGAAAAACAATATTTGAACGTCTATATCGATTGGTATAAACAAAAAACACACGCAAATGTTTTCTTGCAAGTTATGCTCAATGGACAGTGCAAGAAGATGCCAAATTTTCAAACCAAAAAGTAATTGCTTTAATGCTCTGTTTGTTTCGGAAACATTTTGCATAAAGCATTTTTTGCATAAAAAGTTTATTTTGCTATATGAAAAAGAAAAACACAAAAACCGAACTCGTTTTTTACTTTAGTCACTAAAAAGTCGTTATAAAATCAAAAAAACTAAAAATGTCCAAATAAGCTAGCATTTTTTATAGACTTATTTTTAATCAATAAATTAACTTTAGCATCTAAAAAAGCCTCAAGACAAAATATATATATATATATATATTTAAAAAGTAAAAAATATTTTTTAACTGAATCAATCCATTTTTTGTTTTTTTTTTTTTTAATTGTACTTGGCACAAGACAAGCATTTTCTCAAACAACGTTAGAAGTGGCTGGATAAAATTGTTTAAATGTTGATTTCATTAACATATTTTATCAATTTATATATATTTTATGTTCAATTATATAATTAATTTCTTTGTTCATAGCCCAATCAAATCTAAATTGGACTATTATAAATAAAAATAAAAAAGCATAGAAGGGACAGCAAATGGGAGCAGGTTTAGATACCATGAATTTTTATATTAAAAATGAAATTGAATACGCCACCAGGCCTTGGACAATCACTCAAGACGGAGAGACTGACATATATAATTGCAACTTTCATAATATTCAAAATAAAAAATAAAAATAAAAAAAAGAAATCTAATAGCTTGTTAGGTGCTCACATGTCCATGTACCTACTGGTCCTAACAACTTTTTATTTTTGACTATTTTACAAGTTCAAACTAATTAAATTCTATGGAATTTTTTTTTTTTTTTATTTTTTTTTTTTTTTTTGTAAGGATGAAATTAGGTTTGAAGGTTAGGACACAAACTAAGCTATATTAGCGTTCGTTTGAGAAGTGGGGCTGGCTTTTTAACTTTTTAATTATTTTAGTTTGAGATTAAAAAAATCTCGTTTGGGATAAATTCTTTGACTTCTTTGACTTTTTGTAAGAGAAAGAATGTAATAATTATGGGTTGAATGTGATATTTTGTCTTTTTGTAACTAAAATAGCCCTCAAACCCAACCCAACCCAACCCAACTTGCCAAACGAAAGCTTAGGGACTAAATAAGTTATTCGAACTCGATCCATATTCAATTTGTTAAAATCTTATTAATAAATGAATAAATTACAAACACACCCCTTAAAGTTTACTTAAATTACAAACTACTCCATGTGGTTCTAGAAATTACATTATGCCCCCTTAAGGCTTCTAATTTCATAATAAATAAGTCATTTTATTGATAAATCATCAAGTTAATTAACAGTTTTTAATAATTTTAAATTTTATTTTAATTAATAATTCAGATAATATTATTATTGTATACGTGAACAGTTAGAAATTTCACTTTTTCAATTAATTTTGTTTAATAAAAAATTCTGAGAATAAGGTATTCGTAATTTTCCAAACCACATAGGACAATTCGTATTTTAAATAAATTTCGAAAGATGTATTTGTAATTTACCCATAATAAATTATATAGACAACCTAATGCTTTGATTTTGTAGGTAGAAAACCTTTTTTTAAAAATATTTTATGTATTATTTTTTAGTGTTTGATACTATAGAAAACATCAGTAAATGAAAACATTTTCGTTTTTCATGATCAATGAAAAACAAAGTCATTTGGGAGAAAAATGTTTGTCATTTTTGAAAAGTAAAAAAAAATATCTAAATTAAAATCTTACCAACACTACAACCACAGCCACTATACCACAGTTATTGCCACCACCACCTCTATCACTACACCAATACTATCACTAATACAATCACTAACCTACTGGTTTTAAAGTCGCCATCAAACATAAAAAGACATTTTCTATAAGATTTCCGCCGAAATAAGCGAAATATAAGGAGGCAGGTTATACAGCCTGGGGATTAATCTCAGCATTATTAGGCCCATCAAGAGCTACCCCCAAGCTAAGCCACTAGCTCCACATGATATAACCTAAACAACTATGAAAATATGAAAACAAGCACGCTAGACTCCCCATTCTAACATAGAATCGGTCGGTATTTCTGATATTGATTCATACTGAATAATCTCTCCGTATTGCTATTTAAAACTTTGATTTAGAGCCAATATTGGAATCAACATCTGATCTCTGTATGCTCAAGCCGGATAAATTCATGTGCATATAATGATTATATAGAGGGGAAAAAAAAATCTAAGAATATGATCTCTTCAAATGTTTGCCTCAAAGACAAGATAGGTTATATACATAAATACATAGTAGATGACAAGGAATTCTATTCACCATCTCTCCATACTTCTCGTAGAAGCCGATATCTCACAACATTTCGACCGCCCTTTGGCATCCAGTTAGATTTTTCTGAAGAAGGGGAAACCAAGGAGTTGATGGTGACGATAGAAGTTATGGGTGAATCAAGTTCGTCAACCTCATCGTCACTTGTATATGATTTTCTGAGCACTGAAGAGCTGCTCCTCTGCAGAGTTTGGCTTCCCACTTCTCCTATAAATCCTGCAAGCGAAGCTGCTAGGGGTGGTGAATAGACTGTTCGAGTTGCAACACACGGGAAGGTTGTGACAGAAGCTCCTGAATCCTCCTGACCATCCTGAATCAAATCATGGAAACAGATCAGGAGAAGATGGTTTTCACTTTTGCAGATAATACAAAGGGTCTGGCTTCCCTCC